CAAGCGTGCGTTGAGCTGGCAGCGGAGCCGCTCTGGCTAAGGCGCCAGCGGTTTGCGCATGCCCAGAACCCGACGCCACGGCGTCCGTGAGGAAGCAAGTGCCGGTCAGGGACCCGTACAGGAGCATCGCAGCCTCATTCAATGGCATCCATGCCTGAATCTGAAACCTCCACAGTTGCCTTGCTGTCAAACTTCGCGAAGCTGCTCGACTCCTGAACCGAACTCCGCGCCCTGTGACGTCGTGTTCGTGCTGCCTTCTGGAGGTTCTGCGGCATGAACAGGCCCTGCAAAGTGTCGGAATTCAACGAGGGTCAAGGTTGCCCGATCGGGCAAAATTTATCCCTGAGTCTCAACGCATGGTCCTCATCGGTTGCGGTTACCGCCTGGGACTCGCGAGCATTTCGGACTCGCTCAACATGAGCTTCCCGGAGCACAAGCAATCACCACCTGTCGCGGGCCGACTACCGAGGAGGGAAGAACAGAAAACGGACAAGGAGCCAGCCGCGAAAAGGCGAAAGGAACACCTTCACTGCTAGGGCAACTCCGGGAACAAGGGCAACAGCAAGTTCAAAAGAGCTACCGTCTACCGGGTCGACCTGCTGGAGAACGACGAGGAGAGCATCGCCGAGGACGGCAACCAGTTCGGCGACGACGGAAGACAATCAAGACTTCCCGGAGCAAGAGCAAGATCCCGAAGGAGGCTCAGGAACCACACAAGAAAAACATCGGTTTCTGTGGACTTGCCCAGGCGCTGACCGTGACGTGCTGACGGCCTGACGAAGGTAGATCCTGTATAGAGAGCTTTCCTGCCTGGCTCCAAGAGACACTTTGCCAGCTTTGCGAAGATGCCAAGGTGCGAAAGACCAGTGGCAGGCAGTTTGCGACGCGCTTGGCAGGGCCTGCCCGCAACCCTCAGCGGCTGGTGGACTTTTTCTTCTCTCTCCGGCCGTGGCACGCCTGCCCGTGGGGATTGGAGCAGTCGATGTGGAAAGACTGCGCACTTTCTGCGCTGTTGTGTGGGGAGTTTGCTACTTTTCCGGTTGCGCAGAGAACTTTCTCAGAGAACTTGCCTGACAAACTTGCACAGTAAACTTTCTCCGAGAGATGTGCGCAGAGGCGCTTGCGCAGAGAAGTTGCACGCAGAAGAGCTTGAAGCTCGGAAAGCTTGCCCAGACTGCACATGCTTAAGCGTGTCGAATGTTCGATTGGCAAGGCTTCAAATGGAAGCCTGCTACAATACCCGTTTGTTTGGACGGAACTGATGAATCTGTACCAGCGGAACACAAAGCGCGATCGATCAGATTGGGCCCCTAAGAACACGTCGGAAATTTAGTGATTTCCCTCAATCAAGGCCCCTCACAAACGCACGATGGCTGCTAACATTCTACTGGACTTCAAAGACTTCAAAAGCAGAACGCGAAAACATGTTCTCTAAGCCAGTTCTGCGAGCAAGCTCTCTTTGCAAGTAGCTCTGTGCAGAGCTCGTTCGCGCGCGTGGAGCATGTCCTGGCAAGGGAGATACCGGCACTGCGTGCTACGGTTGAAGCCCTTGTTGCTGGCATAGGGGTTTTGTATTTTGGGGTCAACGTTGGGACCGTCGTACGTCATTGCCCTTTACTAAAATACTGAACAAGCCACACATAGATTCCAACTTTAGGCCTGTGATGCATGTTGCTGACTACTATACTAGATCTCCTCGTGCCTCCATCAAATCGATTGACCTTTCGGTTTGGGCAATGGAACTCCCAAATAGAAACATGTGGCAACCTTCAGTCACATCAAGCCAAATGGTTGGCCTTGGTTGTGTCGTTTGGTTGCAAGTGAGATTTGAAGCCATTCGCCACTTCAACAACGCCATAGGAGAACTGTGCAAGGAACATCCGCATCATTGATGTGCCATTTGACGGAGCTGATTCAACTTGCGCAACCAGAGTTCACCTTCACAGCGTGCCAGCTCTGGAGCTCGCTAATTGCCTCTTGCCACAAAACACCTCGCATCCAAGAGCCCTCACCTTCCTGGTTTCCAGGTGTTTGAATGTATTCGTTTGCTTGGTTCCCCACTACAGATCGTCAACCCCAAAGGATCACTGTTTCAACCAGGGTCACTGCTAAACAGCTGGGAAGTCGTCTCATAACCAAGAACGCCCATCTCCAAGGACTGGGCCTCCGCAGAGGCTGCATGAAGCCGCCCGCTAGGGTGCCAAAAACGGCATAGCTTCACTCGCGGAAGTGACAAGCCAACATACCTTGACCGTGTTTTCTCAATTGGTTTGGCTGATCCTTTCTTGTGTTGTGGCAAACACTATTTGGAGAATGGGATTGCCACAATGACACAATGATTGCGCACTTTTGCTGCCGTGTTATTCACGTTGCCTAGGCAGCATCCTCATTTTAGTCGCAGCCCCATTCTGTGTGCTACCCAGGCACACAAATGTTGTGCTCCGTGCGCACGGCTGTGGGCCGAGCCACCAAGAGCCAAGCAAAAAGTTGCAGAGAGAGGCAGCGGTCCCAGTTCGCTGGATTCGACTCTTTAGGGTGGGGTTTCACCCAAGGCGCCCGCACAAAAGTCAAGTCCTGTCCCATGAGTTGGAGTATGCTCAAGTTGGTGCGTGGACAGACCCCTGGCTTTGACAAGCTGAGAGGGCCACCAGATAAATTCCACAAGCCAGCAATCCATTGCACAAATCCACCATCCCAATTCGCCAACCAAATTGGTTTAGGCGAGCCACGGAAGCACATTTGCCCAGCAGCATCCTTGTTTCCTCCTTGGTGAGCTTTCCGTCATCTTGTGTCCCATAGCTGGCCAAGTAAGTCACAACATGCCAATGTGTAGAGCGCCATGAATGTCCAGCCCCTGCTACTCGAAACGTTTCGCACACATGACATTTATATGCGCCACGGATGATATTACTAGGGTATGGTTTTGGTAGTCGTAGCGTTTTTTGTGGAAAGATTGTTGGACATTCATTTGTGGATGCCTTGCGTGTTTTTTGCTTTTGACTTGTTCCGGCAGTGCTTGTTGCAAGGGGGGCTGAAGCAAGCTCATAGATGGAGGGGTTTTGTTCAGATACACCCCCGTTGCATGTTGCAATTTGCAATTGGCGCGGTAACCCCCGTTTCAATCAAAGGTCCGTGTGCCTGAAATCGGTGCAATTTCTGCCAAACGTACATTTGCCACTGCCCGAAGGCTGTGGGGATCCAACAGTCGTGAGCTTTTTGCGAGCGCCGGCTGGTTCACCCTATTGCTTTGGGCAAATTTGACGGAGCGTTGGGCGGGGCTTTATGAATTGACGGGCTCCAAAAGTTAGCTTTGACCTGGTCTGTTTGGAGGTGATACTGGAACTGCAAGTTTGCCCAAGCACTTTATGCCACTGCCGTGTTTGAAACACTGTCGCAGTGGCCGAGCTTATGCTCGCCCAAGCTGCCCGATCACCCGCCTGAGGGGCGCTTGGTCTTTCATCGCGTTCCTGCACTGTGCGAAGCACTGGTGGAAAGCGCGCGGCTTATGGACAAAAAAGACCTGGCCGCTGGTGTTGAGAACAAGTGTGTGAGAGTGTGGGTGTGTTTGTTTGTTTTCCGTTTGACCTGGCAAGCATTTCTGCGATAGTCGGCGAATCCTCAACGAGGGCCTTTCGGGGATAGCTACTTGGAGAACCCAGGGGTGTTTGAATTGCAAACTGCCGAACAAGCTGCCAAGCACCCAAACAAGGGCACAAACCAAGTCCAAGCGACGAAAACACCAAAATTATTGAAACAACGAAGCGCACCAATCAAATCGCGTCAGAAAGTTACTGTTAGGTGGGTTCAGCTAGAGTTGTTAGTTCATCATATTGGTTAGTATGTGTGGATCTGCCTTTTTTTGGCACCGAGGTAGACAGGACCTTTCCTGCCTACCCTCGTCAAGCAATGAAAGCGGCACGACGTGTCGCCATGCAGGGTCTGACTCGCAAGCGCAAATGCACACCGCCAATTTAGGTATTCGGGTAACTTGTTAGTTGCGCGCGATTCGCAACACCTGCATCGTGAAAGGCCGGCGATTGGGCCGCGATTGGTGGGGCAACCCCTCATTGGAAGTGCGCAGTTTGTTGTCAGATCAGCGGTTGGGCGTGCGGATGAACATGCTTACATATTTGCAGCCCCCGCTCCCTTGTAGACAGGGAGATTCGCAGCACCTTGTCGGCTCTCTCTCTCTCTCTCACTCTCTCTGTTTCTCTCTCTCTCTCTCTCTGTCTCTCTCTCTCTCTCTCTCTCTCTCTCTCTCTCTCTCTCTCTCTCTCTGTCTCTCTCTCTCTCTCTGTCTCTCTCTCTCTCTCTCTCTCTCTCTCTCTCTCCCCCTCTCTCTCTCTCTCTCTCTCTCGCTTCGTATGTAAGTATGCTGCGCGGATGTGTGTGGCGAGCCGTGCCTGGGCGCGGGGCCTGTCCACGGTGTTTGCCTGTGCGCGCTGGCGCATGAAAACGACAGAAACTCTGATTTGGCAGCATTTGGCCATGTAGTTGGATCGTGGGGCTACAGATGATGCTTGCTTGGTCCTTCGTCGAAGAATCGAAGCGGTACCAAACAGGAAGTGGTTGCGGTAACAGGTGTAGCTGCTATTGATTCGGGGCCAGCGCTGCTTTGGTTCTGTTTTGGTGTGCCTGACCCCGCACGCAACCGGATTGGCTTTTGAGTTCGAAGTATCATAATGAAATTGAAAGACTTTTTCAATGACGCGTGGAGGCTTTGGGACTGGGGCCAGAACCATGAAGAGCAAGATGCGTCTAGCAAAGCGAGAGTATTGTTTTGTTGGTCTCAATGAAACTTTGGAAGTGTTTTGAGGGATGCTCGTGTGCTTGCAAACCCAGAAAGACGACAACAAGTTCAAGTCACGTGTGATGGAAATCCTCGGAATCAAATCATGAAGCAAGACGTGCATGATTCTACAATGATGTCACTTGTGCCGTATCGGTTCAACGGCTTTCGTGCTGTCAGCTGAAATCGCGAGAGCCTAAAGGGACTCAACATGGCGAATGACTTGGCGTCCGAGGCTGGGCTGTTCCCGTTTCGCGTGTTTTTTGAGCACCTCTTGGTTTAGACGGACCAACCTGAAAACCCCATGGGGTCCCCCTATTTTGACATGTTCCTCCCACACAACGTGCGCCCAGTGCAACAATCATTGTTCAGCTCAATTGTTTTTTTAAAAGGAAAACCTGGTTTTCAACTGGCTGCTTGGGGATGTGGCCATCTTTGGATTTTTTTTGGCGCAGCAACATTCAGGCTTGAGTGAAGTGGATGGCAACACCCTTAGTGATGCATCAGCGCAAAGAGCCAACACAGATTTTGGGCCGGAACACGTTGGAGGTGCGAGACTGCGCCTTGCGAGTCCAACTGTTTGCTAAAGAGGATCCTGTAGCTATTGCAATAAATAGCCTATTTGATCGAGTGGCGAATATTGGTGGTACGGCGCCGCGGCTTCGAAAACAGCCTTGCTGCAGTTGCAGACTGAATGGCTAGCACGGTACATTTCAGCAGCTTTGTGCGCTCAACTTGGTGGAGCCTGATGAAAAAGCCGTTGCGCGGTGTTGAGATCCTAGCTCCGCTTCTTCAATCTTTTCATGGCCACGGATGGGGATATCGTTCCTTTGGGGGATGTTGCTTTTGGAACAGCAATTGTGTTCTTGGGTTTGTGTCATTCCGGGGACCCGCCCCCCTCCCTCCCAAATTGGTGGTTTCCCTTTGGTTTGATTGTCCCAACCGCGACACTTGAAGCTGCGCATGATGCAGATGCTTGGATGGATGTTTGAGTTGCAGCGCTACAAAGCAGCAACAAATCCTCACGTTCTCATGTAGAAGATTAGTGGTGTTGGACTAGAGGTGGGAAGTGGGGTTCCCCAAATTGCGGGTACAGGCGCCGTTGGTTCCAGTTTCTTTTCACCTTTCCGTTGGGATATATTGTAGACACCAACCAAAAGAGGGGAACAATTGGGCTCGTGTCAGGCGGACGTGCGCTTTGAATCCGAAGGCCTGGAAAGTCCAGACCAGGCTGGAGAGCTTCACCTCCGCCAACTTCTCTTCTTTCGATGTTCAGAGAGTGACGCCCCGTAGGTTGCCAAAGGGGAACCAAACGGACACCGCCTATTTCGGGGTGTCCCCGTTGAGACGAGCCGAAGTCTGCAGAGGGTTTTCGGCGCAGTTCCCGATGCATGATCTACTTGGTTGCAAATGATACTGTTGATGGAAGAGACCTTTCATGAGTTTATAGGACTACATGCTTGCCACCCCGCGTCCCCTACCCAACATTGAGCGGCGACGGGCAAAACCGCCCATGGGTTGTCAATGGCCTAAATTTTGCATCCAACTTGGCCAAACTGAGCACCAATGTTAATTAGGGGGCGCGGGGCAAGTCGTAGCAAGATGGCATGGATCTGTTTCAATAGTCATGCAATTTGTCTTCTATCCACCGTATTAGCAGATAATTCAACCCACGGAACAGTTTTGGAGCGTGATCGCTTTCATTTACAAACAGAGACTAGAATGGGTGCACTTGCCCAGCTTCTGAGCGATTTTCAACGAGAACACATAGGCGCAGTTCGTGATGCTCGGAGATGAACCAATTGCGCAGTTCTTTCGCGGCAGAACTTGGAATAAGACTCGCTCGAAAACGAAGAGCGCGCCACCAAAGTCCATCTACTGTAGCTAGACATCAGTGGAAAATCTGGTTAAGGGGGGGAACAGACGGAGCACAACTTGCGGTTGCCCCCACGCGTCAGATGGATTTGCCCGAAGGCGTGCAGCGAAGGGTTGCGGGGGTCTGCGGGCGGAGCGTGTTCGCGACGTGTTCGCAACTGCTCGCAACCGCTTGCATGCAACTTCCCAGGTGCTGGCAGATGTTGCTAGCACTATCTTGCTAGTGCTACTGGCTATAGAGCGTCTTGCTAGTCTTGCTAGCGCTATGTTGCGAGAGCTACTGGCTTTTTGTTTGCTAGTGCTACTGGCTAGCACATCTGCTAGCGCAACTCGCTAGTGCTACTTGCTAATGCAAGTGCAACTCGCTACGCCTGCTAATGCAACCCCGCAACCATTCGCGACAGGCCGTGCTGTTGGGGAATGTCCCACGCGCAAATGCTGTTTTTATTGCGCCTGCGAGTGGCGCCGCAGCAGCTTCCTCCGCTGCGCCACAGCGTAGCTTTTGCGACGTTGCGTGCCGTTCCGCTGCGCAGGAGCAGTGTTCTGGAAGGCCGCGCATTTGCGCCCCCGTGCCACTGCGATTTGCGCTTCCGGGTTGTTCGTTTGATGTGTCTTGAATGGAATTCACGCGTGCGTGTCTGTTCCTGTTGTCGGCCTTGTCGTACAATATCAGCTCGCTTTCGTAAGCGTAAAGTTTGTCAAAGTCGGTCGAAGTCATTCTGGCGCCGCAGCCCCACGCGGAAACGTGTTAAAGTTGGACTCCGTGACAGGTGCAACTCTTTGAGAGCTTGGTTTGACTTGTCGCAAGCTAACTGTTCATGACAGGCGCAGCGCCCTTTGTTCTTGGCAGTCGCAGCGTTTTCGAGCTGCGTGCGCAAGACTTGTGGCAAGCGCAGTGCTTTGAGGCTTGCGGGCTGCAGTGCCTGTGACGCATGGCGTTAGGCGCAGCACTCGACGCATGGCGCGCAGATGCGTGGCCGGCGCAGTACTTTGCCGAGGGGCACGCAGCACTTTGAAGCCTTGCGAGCAAATTGCTGTGGGTGGCGCAGTGCTTTGGAGGGTCGCGCGTTGAGTTTCAGGCTTTGATGTGTGGCGTGCCGGTTTCGTGGCATGTGCAGCGTTTCGCGCCGAATGTCGCATCAAACGCGCTGCCTCCGTGCGCAGAGTGTAAATAAAGCATTATTCGCGCTTGTGAAAGCATGTCTTTGGGCAGACGACTTCCTGCGTGTCTTCGGGAGATGTGTGGCCAAATTGGGAATGTTTTTTGTGGTTTGGCTAGAATGGGTGTTGCCTTTGGGCGTTTCTTTGGTCTCTACATGTCTCTACAGTTGTTTCGGGTGATGTCTTTGGGGATGACTTTTGTGATGTCGTGGAAAGGGTCTCTTTCCAGTGGACGACTTTGTAGGGGAGTGCCTGTTTGGAGGATCTTCTGGAGGTTTCTGGCTTTAAGATGATTAGGATATCGGCAGGCTGTCCGCCAATGAGCTGGATGTCTTGGGCGTGTCTTCAAGTGTCAATGGTGTCTTTGGTGGCCTACTCTTTCCTCGGAGGTTTTCCGTGGGATGGGGGCTTGATCTGTTGAGGATGTCGCTGGGTGTGTTTGCTTTGAGCGATTGTTGTTGCAACATTGCATCTGATGCGGCTCTGATCGTGCAATTCAGCTTTCGAAGCAAGGCAGCTACAAATGCTGTAAGGAACGGGAACGCAAAGAGCAAGCGCAGCGTGCAGGCAGCGCACGCAAGTCAGGTAGCAGCTCGCCAGGCTGTCGCAAAGAAAGCGTTGCAAAGGAAAACCAAGACTGCGCGCCGTGCAGCATGTCTTTGGTTTGTCGTCTCAGAAGATGAGTCGTACACACGTTGTTGCTCAGAAATGTTACCCCAAGAGTCGCGAAATAAATTACGACGGTAGCTTTTGGCAAACAATCTGCATTCGGGCTCGTGGCTTCTGTCAGGTTTCGAACATTTTCCCGAAAGTCGTGGCAGCTCCAGGTCTGACAGGCAGTCAGTCTGACACAGGCAGATTCGGTCAGAGACGCAGGTTGGGGTCTGAGTGGCTGTGTGGGGCCGGAAACCAAGCAATGACTGCAAAATCTCGGAAGACAGAAGAACTCGAAAACGTTGCTGGAAGAACTCGAAGCTAGGTGAACTTGCGATAATTGGCCCAAGAATGGCTTTTAAAACTTTGAAACAACTACACTCTGACAAACTTGCCGGAAAACTCGCAAACACCATGCAGACAAATTCGGACAAACTGGCAGGACAAGTTTGGAAAATCCGATTGAACCACGCAAACTCTTGGGACACTTGGGGAGGATCGGGAAAGCTCATCGAACAACTGGAAAACATACTAAAACATGAAAAGATGGAGCAATTGGTCGAACATCTTGGAAAAGCCCTCGCTCGCAAGATTGCCTTGAACCGACCACCTCCGAGGAAAGGTGTCAGTGAAACAAAGCCGCAGGCCCCTTACAGTTCATGTGGCCGCCGAAATCAAAACGAGCCACAGGCGGAGCATGCCACAACCATGACCCAAGAAACGCGAACAAAATGGCGGGAAAGACTCGGAAAAACAGGCCGGGAAGAACACATGGAGCATAACGGCGCAACTCTGGGTGGGGATGGTTTGAATTGTTTTTTTGCTAGTTGCAGAATGCACAAGTTTCCGTTTGTTTTCTTATTTCCGAGAGTTTGCATTTCGATTCCCAGTGGGACTTCCTCATGAAATATCACCAGTCTATGAAGGTTGGCCCTTGGGATGCAGCTGGGCAAACAGAATCAGCGGGGTAATCCGATCATCTCACACTCAGTCATCATTTACTGTACGTTTAGTTGTTTTGAATGTGTCACAAGAGTCTCAGAAGCGACCCTCGCATTTGGCAAGCGAACCAGCTGTCATTATGTGATTGGGAGCCATTGTAGAAATGCAGATGCGGGTCTTCTGGAGCATGTTGGGCGAAGCTTTTCGCGACATTGGAGTGACGTCCAAAACCTCTGTGTACATAATGTTTAGTTAGAGTCGTGTCATATCGACCTGTGCGTAAGCAAAAACTCCACGCGCGTAAAGTGGCGCAAGCTAGTGGCGTAAGCAAAACCTCCACATGTGTCGCGTAAGGACAGACTCCACACGCAATCATGACACGCTTAGGACGTGGCTTATTGGAGAACAGAAGCTTTCACATCTCCCGCAGTGTGTGTTTGGCAAACTGTGGAGGCAGTCGTGAAAGTTGGCGCCGATGAAGAAGAGCAAGATGGTGCAGGACGAGCGCGTTATAATGTTTGCAGTTTTCGCAGCACATTCCAAACTCGTTTTCTTCCACTGCTTGTTTGCAACAATTGTGCTGTTTTGCTTTGAACGGTCGTTTAGTGCATAGAGCCTTGAATCAAAGGCACGTTGTCAAATATGAAATGTGCAGATAGCCTTTGTGTTGTTTCAGGCGACGAAGAAGCAGAGGCTGAGCAAGCACGGTGGCAGTCGATGTTCCATCATGCTGATCCAGGGTCTTCACACGGGGCCGTCCACGCCTTCTTTGATTTTCTGGATCATATCAGCGAAAAAATCCGGGATGAGATGGAGTCGACCTTCGCACATTTAGGTCTTCTTCTTGCTGACCATGCTTGCAAGTTTTGCTTGGGCGGCATCATATTTGCGCTGGTTTGCATGTCAGGGCTTCCTTTGATCACATTCGAAAGAGATATCTACGAACTTGTTCTTGAACAGAACTCACCAGCTGCGCTGGATCATTTTGAAGGGCAAGATATTTTCAAGAACAATTTGTCGGAAAGTGACCGTGCTATGAGCGTCCTCTATACGCTGCCCAACGGCAAGAACATCTTGGACTCGCCATACTTTGAAGAAGCCCTTGCAATTCACAATGAGATCAAGAATAACGTAACCTCAAAGGAGCGGAAGGAAACGTATGACCAAGATTGCATCCGTTTCTTCGACAATCCAAACGAGTCGTGCATTGTGTTTTGCCCATTGGACCTGCCGTATCAGGTTGCACTTCACAAGGGGGGGAGAGGATTCCGCAACTCTACATACACAATGATGGGTGACCGAGCACGCGTGGAGCAAAATCTGAGTCCAGAAGACGACCATGGGCATTTCGAGTTTTCAGATGGCTTCATGTGCAAATATGAGTCCAGCTCGAATGATTGGAAGTTCGGAGCTGTGCTTTGGGCACAAGAACGGCGCGCAAGCTCTACGGGTAATGTCCGAATCTCGGCTTACAGCTCAGCATTCGCTACAGAGGAAGTGTTCCGTGGCTCTCTCCAAGAAGGGCACTTGTTCGCCTTGGCCTTTGTGGTCGTTTGGTTGGGCTGCGGCGGTGCGATGCATTTCATCAACTTTGAGAACCATTCATGGGTCAATCCAACCAACTGGTTCACTGCGACTATATGTATTGTGAGTGCGGGTCTTGCAATGTTGTCTGCTTTGGGCTTATGTGGCTACTTGACCCTTCAGGGGCTGAAGGTTTCAACTTCATCATTGTTCGTGTCCTTCTTGATCCTTGGCATTGCCGTCGACGACATGATGATCCTTGCTGGGCTTTTCTTCGAAGCACCCAAGGATCATACATTGGCAGAACGGCTGGCTGCCAGCTTTGGCTCAGCAGCAGCATCCATTACCTTGACGAGCATTACTACATTGGCAGGCTTCCTTGCGGGGTCAGCAGTGGACATGGTATGGATCAAATCTTTCACTCAGGTGGGGGCACTTGCAGTGATAGCAGACTATATCATCCAGCTCACCTTCTTTTCAGGAGCCTTTGCCGCATTCCAGCGAGGATACGGCAAACTGCATGCATCCACAAAGGATCGAGGTCATGCTCATTCGGCGTTGGAGAAGTATGCCAGGTGGTCTGCACATAGCACAGTATGCAAAGGGCTGACATTCTTTCTCTTCATTGCAGTGATCTTTGTGTCACTCTATGGAACACAGAGATTGGAGGCGTCCTTTCATCAAAAGGTGAATATGCCCGATGATTCCCACTACCACGAGTATCTACAAGATGGACTTGATTACATGGGACAATACGGTCAAAATAGTGTGTACCTTATGATGCAACATCAAGTTCTGCCAGGACCAGATGTCATGCGAGCTACTGCAGAGTATGCACAGCGGATTAGAGAACTTAATGGGCAAAAGGCATACAAATCAGCAGCAACAGATTGGACCGTGGCTATGCAACTTTGGATGTCTATCCAGTCCAACGCAGAACGTTTGAGGGTCCGCACAAATGCCACAACCTTTGGAGTGGCTCTTGGAGAGTCTTTGGACGGCACACTTCGGAGCCAGTTCTTTACTTTGGCAACGCAGTGGCAGGGTGTTGCCATGGCCTACTTGTCCAGTGGCCTTGCTGTGCAATCCGCTTTGGCAGAAATACATGGCATGGCTCAAGACCTGCAGCTCGGGCCACACCAAGCGCTCACAAACACCAGCACCACCCTGCGTGAAGTCCAGGTTGCCCTTAACACAACTCGCTACAGCTACGGCAACTATACTCAGGAGCTTGGTGCTGGCTTGCGCAGTGCGCTTGATGCTGCCCTTGTGCATCTTTATGCTGCAGCTGATGCATATGAGTCCGGAGGCAGCTTTTCTGCAGCGGAGAGTCTCTTGCAGCAGGCTGCAACTGCATTCAACTCATCAACTCCAGCCAACACGCTGAATGTTACTGCAATTGACCATTTGGACGAGGTAGCAACGCATTTGCTGGAGTCGGTGTACGCATTCAATGCCTCAGTTGGAGTGCGCCTTCAGAGAATGGCCGCCTCTTTGAATTTTGCGGCTGTGAGCTTCTACGAGGCCTTGCCCAGCGATGACCGACTTTTGGGCAAATACAATGTGCAGTTCGGGCAACGAGAATTTCTGCGAAGGCTTGGCGACTTGTTCAAGTACTTCGCGGATCCATACACCGAAGTCGTTTTCAAGCAGTGGTGGAACACAACGATGTTTCCAATGGAGTCGGTTGGCATCTACGCACGAAATACTGCAAAGACATTGAAAGTGCCTTGATTGCAAGCTAAGTGGACGTTTGTTTGCTGGAAGTGTCCTGCGTGTGTGCAAACGTACTGGTCACTCAGCGGCTTATGTTGTTTGACCTTTGGCAATCAGATCAGGCAATGCAACAAGCGGCAGAGACTTTTGCTGCATCTGATCCTTTGAGTCCGTTGGCAACCACTTGCAATGAACTTCGGGTGGCTTTGAGTGCTTCGCCGAATGCTGCCTTCAATGCTGCTGCCACCAAAGCTTTCGCAGTGCTTGTGGAGTCTGCAGCAAAGCATGCAGGAGACGAGGTGAGCTTGGCTCATCTTGAGCAGCACTACGAGTCGGGGGCCTTGAGAGATTCAGGAGAAGATGACAAGTGTTCTCCACAAGAGGTTGCTCTTGAAAGCTTGCGCCGTGGTCTGGCTTATGGAGTTGCTCAGTACCGATCTACTGCCATGTGGAATGCTTATTCAAACTTTTCTATGGCAGAAGCACGCAGATGGTTGACCAGCATTGTAGGACAGGTCACAGACCTGAACACGCCACAAGCGGTCACTGCGACTCGAAGGTTTGCTGGTCATCAGTGGCTTTCGCTGGCAGGCGAACGAGACCAGGTCGGGGTCCAACATCAATGTGCAAGATCCTGATACCAGATGATTTCCGTTGCTGTTATGGTGCCCAACGGATTGCAAACTAGGATTTTGTGGCCCCCCCGCTGTTCCAACGACCCCAGGTGTCACGTGAGCGAGAGGCAGAGCGCAGGGCGCAACGGGCCCAGCGTGCGGTGGACGCTGCACGCCGCTCGCGCTTGGCCAGGGAGGCAGCCTTCGAAGTCTGGGAAGATGTGGACAACTATGAGGAGCCTGGCCCCATCTATATCGAGGGAAGCCGAAAGCAGTTTGAAACGATTGTGGTTACATGTGAATGTAGCAAGGGGTTGGCCTAACCTTGCTGTGAGGAGAGCTTCGGAAGCGAGATGGAGAATGTGGTTTTCAATGAGGATCTGAAGCCAGGCAGGAGCATTAAACAGTTCAAGTGGGTTCGACAAAGAAGCACGCATGCTGTTTGACAGCCGAAATCGTTCGGTCTCTGAGTTTCCCTTTGTCAGGTTTGCTGCGAGCTTCCGAGGTGAGGCGTCCAGGATTCCCACGAACCGTGACCGCAAACCAATCTTGGCAGCTCTTTCAATCTTTCCTCAGCAAAGACTTCCAGACGAAGCTGCTCGATGATTTGGAGGACGCGGATCCAACAGAACAAGGCACCGTGTTGCTGAATGGCCAGATCAATTCACAAATGAGAAGAATTCGGCGAGCCAGCGCGCGGGAGCGAAGCTTTGAGAAACGAATGTGGAGTCGGTCTGCAGCTACGTGGGAAGCGAAGGAATCTTTTCTCGCTGCCTTCAACCTTGATGACATGCTTCAGGAGAGGCAAGCAGCAAGGGATTCCAGGTATGGCGAGAGAGATGAAGATTACTTTCTTTCCATCAGAGATTATGGCATTCCTGATGGTAACTTGCCAGGTGAGCTTCTAGGCTATGACACCAAAAGGGTCAAGTCAGCAGAGCTCCTCTCCAAGGAGGCAGGAGTTTCAGAGGAGGCATGGCAGCGCATGGATGACCAGGCCGAGGTCCAGAACGAGTCAGCGCAAGAGAAGAGGACATCTCTCACTGGACTTCTTGAAGCTTTCGTGGTTGGTAAGAGGACTACGCCGAAAGAAGATGATCTGAAGGTTCAGATTGCGGAGCTGCACAATGATGACTTGAAGCAAAGCGCAGCTCGACGTGAGGAACTTGAAGATCTCCGGGATGCTATTCGCTTGAGTCAAATTGAGGATGGACTTGCTTATGACTTCTTTGCGCAAAGTGGAGAGTGGTTGAGGTCCCTTGGTTTGCTCAACAACCTCACCTCAATGTCTACAATCTATCCAGAGCTATACATGGCATTTTTGGGTCAGGCACGCAGACATTTGGATGAGATGGAGCGAGACATGAGCTACAAATCCGGTACCTTGGGTGATATGGACTTCAACACCTTGAGCACAGACCTTGGGTACGTGGCGTCCAACTTGACCCAATCGATTGTGACTCTGTTGCTCAACCAAAGTGGGATCGATACATTAGACACTGCCAAAGTCTTCATGGATGCGGCGGTTGTGAACCAGGCTATGTCTGCTTACATTAAGCCAGACATTGTGGTGGAAGAAGATGCCGGTCGAGACCAACAGGGTTTGCTGCGAGTTTATTGGACAAGAGTGAAAGTCGGATTCCGAGCAAAAAATATGTGGACGGAGGATGGCTTTGAAGAGGACCAAATTGACACTGCTGGTTACTTGGCTGTGAAACCATGTTCTTGTTGTTTGAAGATGGCACCATAAGCCAAGCATGTGAGCATACCTTTGAACCGTCAGTCCCTGGCAGGACTATCGTGCAAGCTTGGAAGCGAGGCGATTGGCCGCAGAATGGGCTGCAAATGTACAGAAACTGCAAGAACGTCATACCAACTATTGGAAGGATATTTCGATGGGCGACCCGTGGGAGATCGGAAAAGCGTTCTCCTCGGGGCAAGTCTTCAGAAACCTTGACTCTAAGCAAACATTGTTGGGCAACGTGATGACAAGCTTGATCTACGTGAACATTTTGATGGCAGCCTTTTGCTTCATATTCCTGGGGCCACGACTGGGGCTGCTTTTGTTGCCTTGCATCGCTTTGATGACGTTGGTGATATTTGGTTTCTATGGCATTTGCGGATTCAAGATCGATCCAATCTTGGCTCTTGCCTTGCTCCTTTCGTCGGGCACGACCATTGATTTTATCCTTCATTTTGTTATGGCAGCGGCCGCTTGCAGCCCTTCCAATCCCAATATTCATGTTTCTGGCTCTCAGAGATACATTGTGGCAATGAAGAGCGCAGGGGTAGGAATTTTTGCTTCTTATGCTACAACAATGCTTGGCATTATCCCCATGGCATTTGCCCGATTGAGTGCTATCAGGTCACTCTTCTTTGCATATGTTATCAGCTTGAATGTGGGGGTTTTCTTTGGTTTGGTCTTCATCCCTTTGGTCTCCATCTACGTCTACGGAGTTGATCTTGCTCCTAGAGGAGCCAAGAAAAAAACTGAGAAGGCTGAAGAGCATGAAGTGCACGGCGCCGGAGCCCGCTTGGCGAAGAAAAGGAACAGTGTCACAGAGACGCAGCAACCGTTGGCCGAAATGCACATTTGAGGGGCAAAGACTTGCTTCAACTGATACTGAGTGCGCGGCACATACTTAGTATGTCGCCCGGTTTCACCATTGCGATGGAGAACGTGAGCCTGAGTTTGAGGGTGTTTGAGGGTCAATGGCACCCTCACTCACCAAATGTTCACAACCATTTCCGAGATAGAGGTAGAGCATGGAGGAAAAGCGGACCCGTTTTGGAGCGACTCGGCTTCTTCAGCCTATGCGCTATCATGTATTCTGGAGTGTGCATCTTCCTTTGTATCAAAGTCAGAAACTGGGGCTGGCGCTCGTCAACTTTCCACTTGTGGGGTACTGGGTCCTTGTGGTTACACGCCCCGCAAGCCATGATCTATGCTGTCACTTTATAGATGTATGGCTTTCAGCGACTTTGAAACAAACCGCATGGGCACACACGTTTCACTTAGATGTTGCTGCGGACGCACATGCTACCCCAGCCCTCACCGCGCGCAAAGCCAAGGGTCTGGTGTGCCATGGGAGATCGGAAGGGGCGCTGTTGAATGTTGAGGCCCACTCCCGTCACAAAACACAACGGCGCACTGCCTCTGGCCAAGATACTGAGAAGGTTAAGCCAACTAACACATGGGAGTGTGATCCGTGTGTTGCTATGTGTTGCTAAGTTGTGTTGTCGGTGAAGACCTCGTTTAGACGTCGTTAAATTGGCTTCGCAGAACACCTTTTTTGCAAGGTTTCGTGGCAGGTGCAGCACTTTCGCAAGGTCAGGCGCGGATTTCGCGACAGGCGCAAGCTTTAGAAGTAGATTTCGTTACAGGGGCGCAACAGAGAACGAGAAGGAGAAAAGGAAAGACACGGCGCAAGTGAAAAAAACTAGACCACGGTTGGCCCGAAAGCATAACATCGCAAGCGAGGTCGGCCCAACGCTGCAGGATGCGTTCTTTTTCCCTCCACGAAGCATTTGTGAAGCAAGCGCGAGACAGCACCAGGCAAGGTGCTCTGCGCAAACTGGTCGGTGCAAGTTGGTCTGCGCAAGTTGCTCTACGCAAGTTGCACTGTGCAAGTTGCTCTGCGCAAGTTGCTCCGCGCAAGTTGCTCCGGCAAGTTGGTCCCTGCAAGTGGCTCCCTGCAAGTTGCTCTGTGCAAATTGCGCTCCCTGCAAGTTGCTCTGTGCAAGCTGCTCTGTGCAAGTTGCTCTGTGCAAGTTGCTCTGCGTAAGTTGCTCTGCGCAAGTTGCTCTAGGCAAGGCGCTCTGCGCAAACTGGTCGGTGCAAGTTGGTCTGCGCAAGTTGCTCTGTGCAACTTGCTCTGCGCAAGTTGCTCTGCGCAAGTTGCTTTAAAATGCAAGTTGCATCTTGCGACGCCCGCCCGCGGACCAGGGAGGAATCGAACCCGCGACCCGCCGGTTCCGGGAGCAGGCGCGCGAACCACGAGACAACTTCTGAGGACCAGTTCGAACAACGAAAGTCGCAAAAAACCTCGAGTTTTTTGCACCTCGACCACGCCGATTCCCGCAGAGGGTTGCGCGAGCACCGCAGAAATCGCAAAAAAACCTCGAGTTTTTGCACCTCGACCACGCCGATCCCCGCAGAGGGTCGCGCGAGCATGTTAAAAACATTTTAACTCCTCGCAAGTCAATTGCACTTGACTCCTTGCACTTGCAACTTGCACTTGACTCCTTGTACTTGCAACTTGCACTTGACTCCATGCACTTGCAACTTGCACCTGACTCCTTGCACTTGCAACTTGCACTTGACTCCTTGCACTTGCAACTTGCACTTGGCTCCATGCGCAGCTCGCAATGACTCTCATGACTCCTTGCAATGACTCCTTGCAATGACTCCTTGCAATGACTCCTTGCAATGACTCCTAGCAATGACTCCTTGCAATGACTCCTAGCAATGACTCCTTGCAATGACTCCTTGCAATGACTCCTTGCAATGACTCCTTGCAATGACTCCTTGCAATGACTCCTTGCAATGACTCCTTGCAATGACTCCTTGCAATGACTCCTTGCAATGACTCCTTGCAATGACTCCTTGCATGACTCCTTGCCTTGCAATGACACCTTGTAATGACTCTCATGAGAACAACTCAAGTGAACCCAGCGGAAGAACCCTTCGCCATGCTTTCGGGAAAAAGAAAGAGTATGGGGAAGAGAAAGAGGAAAGAAAAAGAAAGAAGGAAGTAGAAAGAAGCGTGAGGGAAGCACTTGTTGAGCACATTGGTGCGCAGTTGTTTTTGGAAGATTGTGCTTATAAACGTATAGGGGTGGCTGTGAACAAAGAACTTAGCAACATTGCAGCGCATGTTGGTGAATTGTGGTGCGCCATGTGTTTGTGGACACGGTTCGAGCAATTTTTGAGCTCGAAACCTAGCTCAGACAAGTGAAACTATAGTGAAAACGCATAGGGGCGAACCAGCCCCGGGGCTGATAGGGGCACCTCTGGCCTATTTTAATTGAAACGCTGTTAAAACGCGGTGTGCCACTGGGGAAGTACTTGTTAAGCACGTTGGGGTTCAGCGGTTTTTTGGAAGAGTGCTGCTTACATAATAAAAACACAAAGGAGTGCCTATGCACAAAGAACTTAGCTCCGGCAAAAATTTTGCCGGAGCCTAAGCGCTGATTGGAGTATGGCGCAAAGCTCAGCTGCTCGAAGCTGTTTATCAAAGGTTTGCTCGTAACTGCCTTTCTAGAGGACACGTGCGTCTCACGCGCGAATCTTTACGCGGCCGCTGAAGCTACGCTAAGCCACTATGTTTTGGCAACCTTTGGTCATGTGGGTGGATCTTGGGGCTACAGATGACGTGTCCTTGCAAGAGCTTGGCTCGTCCCTCGACGAATCGGAGCGGACGAAGGAATCTCTACCAAACAGGAAGTGATTTCGGCGACTGGGGCTGCTAGTGGTTCGGGGTCAACGCTGCTTTGGTTCCATGTTGGTTTTGACTGACCCCGCGCGCGGCCGCATTGACTTGTGGGCGCCTGTGCGGCAGCTGTTCAAAGTAAAATAATTTAATTCAACATCGCTTTCTCAATGGGGACCGGGACCAAAGCCATAAAGAGCAAGATGCGCCCAGTGGCGCGGGAGTATTGTTTTAGGTTCAACGAAACCACGGGTGTTTTGAGGCGCGTCGTGGGCATAATGGTGCTACCTGTGAAGGACGACTCCTCGGCGTAGAAACATGAAGCGATATTTGCGTGAGTCTACAATGATGTCACTTGTGCCGTATCGGCTCAAAGGCTTTCTGAATTTTTTCAGCACCGCGAGAGCCCAAAGGGACTCAGCATGGCGCAGGACTTGGCGTCCCAGGCTGGGCCGTATCGGATTGACAAAACATGAGGTGTTTTTGAGGCTCGACGCCCTCGGTTTAGACTGACCTACATGAAAACCTCATTGGGCCCCCTTATTTTGACATGTTTCCCAAATACCATTCTTCAACTCAAAGAAATTTATCCCAAGGTTTGACCTGATTTTCTAGTGGCTGCTTGGGGAGGTGACAGTTCGAGGTTGACTCGGTAGAATGATTTCGAAGATGGGATGGCAACACCCTTAGTGCTGCATCAACACAAAGAGCCCACATAGACTTTGGGCCGGAACATGTTGGAGGTGCGAGATTGCGCGTTGCCAAAACAATGTGAGTCCAGCTGTTTGCAGAAAGGCTACTAATCATATCTTGTTTGATTACGTGGCACATATTTGTAGTTGGGAGCCGCGGCTTTGAAAACAGCCTTGCTGCAGTTGCACACTGAATGGCTATCGCAGTGCAATTCAGCGATTTTGTGCGCTGAAGATGAAGAAGCCGTTGCGCGGAGTTGAGACCCTAGCTCTGCTTCTTCAATCCTGTCATGGCCACGGATGGTGGAATCGTGCCTTTCGTGGACGATAGTGTTTGAACAGCAATTGTGTGTTTGGGTTTGTGGCATTGGTGGTTTTCCGTTTGGCAGTTTGCTTTTTCCACCACGACATTTGAATACGCATGATGCAGATGCTTGGATGGATGTTTGAGTTGCAGCGCTACGAAGCAACCAAAACCCACACAACCTTAGACGCGCTTCTGAAATTATCTTAGCCAAAACCTTTGTATGTTCCTCACGTTCTCATGTAGAAGATTAGTGGTGTTGGACTAGAGGTGGGAAGTGGGGTTCCCAAATTGCGGGGTCAGGCGCCGTTGGTTCCAGTTTCTTTTCTCACCTTATACCAAAAGAGGGGGCCTTTTGCGCCATGTTGAGAACCGCTCAACTGTTGAACCCGTGTAGGGCCAGTAACCCGTCCATGTTGAGGCGCTTTGAGCAATTGGGCTCGTGTCAGGCGGACGTGCGAATTGAATCCGAAGGCCTAGAAGGCCCAGATCAGGCTGGAGCGGGTCACCTCCGCTAAGTTCTCGTTTTTTCAATGTTCAAAGAGTGACGCCCGCAGTTTGCAAAAGGGGAACCAAACGGTAACCGCCTATTTCGGGGTGTGTCCGTTGAGACGAGGCGAAATCTCAAAAGGGTGTTCGGCGCAGTTCCCGAAGCAGGAAGCTCTATTCCTTTGATGGTGCTTCAATATCCATCTCTGACTCTTCATGCATGATTTACTTGGCTGCAAATGATGCTAGCAGATATTCCACAGAACAGTTTGGGGGGGGGGGAGATCACTTTCAGTAAAACAGGAAGACGAGAAGGGAGTCATATTTGGTGCCAGTCCATCTCTATTGAAGGCTGTAGCTGCTCATGAGGGGTCCACTTGCCCAGCTTCAGAACGATATTCACAAGAACAATGTATCGGCGCAATTCGTGATGCTCGGAGATGACCCAACTGCGCAAACCTTTCGCAACCGAACTTGGAATGAAACAACAAAGCCCATCTAGCTACCACTCATTAACCAATGATTTCTAGATCATTTGGAAAGTCGTGTTTAGGGGGAACAGAATGAGCTCAACCTGTGGTTGTCCCCCACGCATCAGATGGGGTTGCTAGATTTGCCCGAAGGCGTGCAGCGAAGGGCGCCCGTTTATAAGTGGGGGGTCTTTCGGCGGAGGTCGTGTTCGCTACGTGCTCGCAAGCGTTTGCAACTTGCTAATGCATCTTCCTAGTGCAACTCATTACTGCAATTTGCGAGCAGTGCCAGAGGCTAGGGCATCTTGCTGGCGCTATCTTGCTAGTGCTACTGGCTAGTGCGACTTGCTAGCGCAACTCGCTTGTGCTACTTGCTAATGCAACTTGGTAGTGCAACTCGCTAGTGCTACTTGCAAACGCAACTGCCCGCAACCGTTCGCGACGTGGCGACAAGGCCCATAGGCACCACTTCCCAAACAAACTGGTCCGCTTCTAGTGACGACAAATATACTGGATGTAGGTCATGTTATAACCTAGTGTATCTTGGGCTATAAGCCTAGGAAGTAATCTAAGTGCTGGCCAAAGTTTATATGTACTTACAGGGTTGCCAAGTAACTTACACGTATCGTAAGATCCCCTTCACACACGCACAGCCAAGACACTTAAAGTACTTACGGTAATTGCTTGCAAATCAAGGTGCGCAGTCTGTGATCTTTGCACTCCACTCCACTCCACTCCACTCCACTCCACTCCACTCCACTCCACTCCACTGCACTCCACTCCACTCCACTCCACTCCACTCCACTCCACTCCACTCCACTCCACTCCACTCCACTCCACTCCACTCCACTCCGCTCCGCTCCGCTCCACTCCGCACCACTCCGCACCACACGCGACACGCCACGCCCACACTCCGCGCTCTCCACTCCACACTCTCCACAATTTGGCCAAGAGTGAATCTTGGTGCATGCATGGCAAAGAAAACACCTGCGGCTGGATGGAGTCTACCAAGAGAAACATGACAATCATTTACCTCTCAAATCAAGGGGGTTCAAACAGTAAATTTGTCAATTCAACAATTTGATCAGCATATTTTGCATGCCCTTAGGAGCATTTAAGGAGCGCCCAAATTTGGAGCAGTTGGTCGAACATCTTGGAAAAGCCCTCGCTCGCAAGATTGCCTTGAACCGACCACCTCCGAGGATTGAAGGTGTCAGTGAAACAAAGCCGCAGACCCCTTACACTTCATGTGGCCGCCGAAATCAAAACGAGCAACAGGCGGAGCATGCCACAACCATGACCCAAGAAACGCGAACAAAATGACGGGAACAACTCGGAAAAACTGGCCGGGAAGAACACATGGAGCATAACGGCGCAACTCTGGGTGGGGATGGTTTGAATTGTTTTTTTGCTAGTTTCAGAATGCACAAGTTTTCGTTTGTTTTCTTATTTCCGAGAGTTTGCATTTCGATTCCCCAGTAAACTTCCTCATGAAATATCACCAGTCTATGAAGGTTGGCCCTTGGGATGCAGCTGGGCAAACAGAATCAGCGGGGTAATCCGATCATCTCACACTCAGTCATCATTTACTGTACGTTTAGTTGTTATGGATGTGTCACAAGAGTCTCAGAAGCGACCCGCGCATCTGGCAAGCGAACCAGCTGTCATTGGGAGCCATTGGGCGAAACGTTTCCCGAATTGGAGAACAGAAGCTTTCACATCTCCGCAGTGTGTGTTTGGCAAACTGTGGAGGCAGTGGTGAAAGTTGGCGCTGATGAAGAAGAGCAAGATGGTGAAGGAGGAGCGCGTCGTAATATGTTTTGGCAAGTTTCGCAGCACATTCCAAACTCATATTCTTCCGCGGCTTGTTTGCAGCAGTTGTGCTGCTTTGCTTTGAACGGTCGTTTAGTGCATAGAGCCTTGAATCGAAGGCACGTTGTCAAATATGCAATGTGCAGATTGCCTTTGCGTGCTGTTTCAGGCGACGAAGAAGCAGAGGCTGAGAAAGCACGGTGGCAGTCGATGTTCCATCATGCTGATCCAGGGTCTTCACACGGGGCCGTCCACGCCTTCTTTGATTTTCTGGATCACATCAGCGAAAAAATCCGGGATGAGATGGAGTCGACCTTCGCACATTTAGGTCTTCTTCTTGCTGACCATGCTTGCAAGTTTTGCTTGGGCGGCATCATATTTGCGCTGGTTTGCATGTCAGGGCTTCCTTTGGTCACACTCGAAAGAGATATCTACGAACTTGTTCTTGAACAGAACTCACCAGCTGCGCTGGATCATTTTGAAGGGCAAGATATTTTCAAGAACAATTTGTCGGAAAGTGACCGTGCTATGAGCGTCCTCTATACGCTGCCCAACGGCAAGAACATCTTGGACTCGCCATACTTTGAAGAAGCCCTTGCAATTCACAATGAGATCAAGAATAACGTAACCTCAAAGGAGCGGAAGGAAACGTATGACCAAGATTGCATCCGTTTCTTCGACAATCCAAACGAGTCGTGCATTGTGTTTTGCCCATTGGACCTGCCGTATCAGGTTGCACTTCACAAGGGGGGGAGAGGATTCCGCAACTCTACATACACAATGATGGGTGACCGAGCACGCGTGGAGCAAAATCTGAGTCCAGAAGACGACCATGGGCATTTCGAGTTTTCAGATGGCTTCATGTGCAAATATGAGTCCAGCTCGAATGATTGGAAGTTCGGAGCTGTGCTTTGGGCACAAGAACGGCGCGCAAGCTCTACGGGTAATGTCCGAATTTCGGCTTACAGCTCAGCATTCGCTACAGAGGAAGTGTTCCGTGGCTCTCTCCAAGAAGGGCACTTGTTCGCCTTGGCCTTTGTGGTCGTTTGGTTGGGCTGCGGCGGTGCGATGCATTTCATCAACTTTGAGAACCATTCATGGGTCAATCCAACCAACTGGTTCACTGCGACTATATGTATTGTGAGTGCCGGTCTTGCAATGTTGTCTGCTTTGGGCTTATGTGGCTACTTGACCCTTCAGGGGCTGAAGGTTTCAACTTCATCATTGTTCGTGTCCTTCTTGATCCTTGGCATTGCCGTCGACGACATGATGATCCTTGCTGGGCTTTTCTTCGAAGCACCCAAGGATCATACATTGGCAGAACGGCTGGCTGCCAGCTTTGGCTCAGCAGCAGCATCCATTACCTTGACGAGCATTACTGCATTGGCAGGCTTCCTTGCGGGGTCAGCGGTGGACATGGTATGGATCAAATCTTTCACTCAGGTGGGGGCACTTGCAGTGATAGCAGACTATATCATCCAGCTCACCTTCTTTTCAGGAGCCTTTGCTGCATTCCAGCGAGGATACGGCAAACTGCATGCATCCACAAAGGATCGAGGTCATGCTCATTCGGCTTTGGAGAAGTATGCCAGGTGGTCTGCACATAGCACAGTATGCAAAGGGCTGACCTTTTTTCTCTTCATTGCAGTGATCTTTGTGTCACTCTATGGAACACAGAGATTGGAGGCGTCCTTTCATCAAAAGGTGAATATGCCCGATGATTCCCACTACCACGAATATCTACAAGATGGACTTGATTACATGGGACAATACGGTCAAAATAGTGTGTACCTTATGATGCAACATCAAGTTCTGCCAGGACCAGATGTCATGCGAGCCACTGCAGAATATGCACAGCGCATCAGAGAACTTAATGGGCAAAAGGCATACAAATCAGCAGCGACGGATTGGACCGTGGCTATGCAACTTTGGATGTCTATCCAGTCCAACGCAGAACGTTTGAGGGTCCGCACAAATGCCACAACCTTTGGAGTGGCTCTTGGAGAGTCTTTGGACGGCACACTTCGGAGCCAGTTCTTTACTTTGGCAACGCAGTGGCAGGGTGTTGCCATGGCCTACTTGTCCAGTGGCCTTGCTGTGCAATCTGCTTTGGCAGAAATACATGGCATGGCTCAAGACCTGCAGCTCGGGCCACACCAAGCGCTCACAAACACCAGCACCACCCTGCGTGAAGTCCAGGTTGCCCTTAACACAACTCGCTACAGCTACGGCAACTATACTCAGGAGCTTGGCGCTGGCTTGCGCAGTGCGCTTGATGCTGCCCTTGTGCATCTCTATGCTGCAGCTGATGCATATGAGTCCGGAGGCAGCTTTTCTGCAGCGGAAAGTCTCTTGCAGCAGGCTGCAACTGCATTCAACTCATCAACTCCAGCCAACACGCTGAATGTTACTGCAATTGACCATTTGGACGAGGTAGCAACGCATTTGCTGGAGTCGGTGTACGCATTCAATGCCTCAGTTGGAGTGCGCCTTCAGAGAATGGCCGCCTCTTTTAATTTTGCGGCTGTGAGCTTCTACGAGGCCTTGCCCAGCGACGACCGACTTTTGGGCAAATACAATGTGCAGTTCGGGCAACGAGAATTTCTGCGAAGGCTTGGCGACTTGTTCAAGTACTTCGCGGATCCGTACACCGAAGTTGTTTTCAAGCAGTGGTGGAACACAACGATGTTTCCAATGGAGTCGGTTGGCATCTACGCACGAAATACTGCAAAGACATTGAAAGTGCCTTGATTGCAAGCTAAGTGGACATTTGGTTGCTGAAAGTGTCCTGCGTGTGTGCAAACGTACTGGTCACTCAGCGGCTTGTGTTGTTTGACCTTTGGCAATCAGATCAGGCAATGCAACAAGCGGCAGAGACTTTTGCTGCATCTGATCCTTTGAGTCCGTTGGCAACCACTTGCAATGAACTTCGGGTGGCTTTGAGTGCTTCGCCGAATGCTGCCTTCAATGCTACTGCCACCAAAGCTTTCGCAGTGCTTGTGGAGTCTGCAGCAAAGCATGCAGGAGACGAGGTGAGCTTGGCTCATCTTGAGCAGCACTACGAGTCGGGGGCCTTGAGAGATTCAGGAGAAGATGACAAGTGTTCTCCACAAGAGGTTGCTCTTGAAAGCTTGCGCCGTGGTCTGGCTTATGGAGTTGCTCAGTACCGATCTACTGCCATGTGGAATGCTTATTCAAACTTTTCTATGGCAGAAGCACGCAGATGGTTGACCAGCATTGTAGGACAGGTCACAGACCTGAACACGCCACAAGCGGTCACTGCGACTCGAAGGTTTGCTGGTCATCAGTGGCTTTCGCTGGCAGGCGAACGAGACCAGGTCGGGGTCCAACATCAATGTGCAAGATCCTGATACCAGATGATTTCCGTTGCTGTTATGGTGCCCAACGGATTGCAAACTAGGATTTTGTGGTCCCCCCCCTGTTCCAACGACCCCAGGTGTCACGTGAGCGAGAGGCAGAGCGCAGGGCGCAACGGGCCCAGCGTGCGGTGGACGCTGCACGCCGCTCGCGCTTGGCCAGGGAGGCAGCCTTCGAAGTCTGGGAAGATGTGGACAACTATGAGGAGCCTGGCCCCATCTATATCGAGGGAAGCCGAAAGCAGTTTGAAACGATTGTGGTTACATGTGAATGTAGCAAGGGGTTGGCCTAACCTTGCTGTAAGGAGAGCTTTGGAAGCGAGATGGAGAATGTGGTTTTCAATGAGGATCTGAAGCCAGGCAGGAGCATTAAACAGTTCAAGTGGGTTCGACAAAGAAGCACGCATGCTGTTTGACAGCCGAACTCGTTCGGTGTCTGAGTTTCCCTTTGTCAGGTTTGCTGCGAGCTTCCGAGGTGAGGCGTCCAGGATTCCCACGAACCGTGACCGCAAACCAATCTTGGCAGCTCTTTCAATCTTTCCTCAGCAAAGACTTCCAGACGAAGCTGCTCGATGATTTGGAGGACGCGGATCCGACAGAACAAGGCACCGTGTTGCTGAATGGCCAGATCAATTCACAAATGAGAAGAATTCGGCGAGCCAGCGCGCGGGAGCGAAGCTTTGAGAAACGAATGTGGAGTCGGTCTGCAGCTACGTGGGAAGCGAAGGAATCTTTTCTCGCTGCCTTCAACCTTGATGACATGCTTCAGGAGAGGCAAGCAGCAAGGGATTCCAGGTATGGCGAGAGAGATGAAGATTACTTTCTTTCCATCAGAGATTATGGCATTCCTGATGGTAACTTGCCAGGTGAGCTTCTAGGCTATGACACCAAAAGGGTCAAGTCAGCAGAGCTCCTCTCCAAGGAGGCAGGAGTTTCAGAGGAGGCATGGCAGCGCATGGATGACCAGGCCGAGGTCCAGAACGAGTCAGCGCAAGAGAAGAGGACATCTCTCACTGGACTTCTTGAAGCTTTCGTGGTTGGTAAGAGGACTACGCCGAAAGAAGATGATCTGAAGGTTCAGATTGCGGAGCTGCACAATGATGACTTGAAGCAAAGCGCAGCTCGACGTGAGGAACTTGAAGATCTCCGGGATGCTATTCGCTTGAGTCAAATTGAGGATGGACTTGCTTATGACTTCTTTGCGCAAAGTGGAGAGTGGTTGAGGTCCCTTGGTTTGCTCAACAACCTCACCTCAATGTCTACAATCTATCCAGAGCTATACATGGCATTTTTGGGTCAGGCACGCAGACATTTGGATGAGATGGAGCGAGACATGAGCTACAAATCCGGTACCTTGGGTGATATGGACTTCAACACCTTGAGCACAGACCTTGGGTACGTGGCGTCCAACTTGACCCAATCGATTGTGACTCTGTTGCTCAACCAAAGTGGGATCGATACATTAGACACTGCCAAAGTCTTCATGGATGCGGCGGTTGTGAACCAGGCTATGTCTGCTTACATTAAGCCAGACATTGTGGTGGAAGAAGATGCCGGTCGAGACCAACAGGGTTTGCTGCGAGTTTATTGGACAAGAGTGAAAGTCGGATTCCGAGCAAAAAATATGTGGACGGAGGATGGCTTTGAAGAGGACCAAATTGACACTGCTGGTTACTTGGCTGTGAAACCATGTTCTTGTTGTTTGAAGATGGCACCATAAGCCAAGCATGTGAGCATACCTTTGAACCGTCAGTCCCTGGCAGGACTATCGTGCAAGCTTGGAAGCGAGGCGATTGGCCGCAGAATGGGCTGCAAATGTACAGAAACTGCAAGAACGTCATACCAACTATTGGAAGGATATTTCGATGGGCGACCCGTGGGAGATCGGAAAAGCGTTCTCCTCGGGGCAAGTCTTCAGAAACCTTGACTCTAAGCAAACATTGTTGGGCAACGTGATGACAAGCTTGATCTACGTGAACATTTTGATGGCAGCCTTTTGCTTCATATTCCTGGGGCCACGACTGGGGCTGCTTTTGTTGCCTTGCATCGCTTTGATGACGTTGGTGATATTTGGTTTCTATGGCATTTGCGGATTCAAGATCGATCCAATCTTGGCTCTTGCCTTGCTCCTTTCGTCGGGCACGACCATTGATTTTATCCTTCATTTTGTTATGGCTGCAGCCGCTTGCAGTCCTTCCAATCCCAACATTCATGTTTCTGGCTCTCAGAGGTACATAGTGGCAATGAAGAGCGCAGGGGTAGGTATTTTTGCTTCTTATGCTACAACAATGCTTGGCATTATCCCCATGGCATTTGCCCGATTGAGTGCTATTAGGTCACTCTTCTTTGCATATGTTATCAGCTTGAATGTGGGGGTTTTCTTTGGTTTGGTCTTCATCCCTTTGGTCTCCATCTACGTCTACGGAGTTGATCTTGCTCCTAGAGGAGAGAAGAAAAAAACTGAGAAGGCTGAAGAGCATGAAGTGCACGGCGCCGGAGCCCGCTTGGCGAAGAAAAGGAACAGTGTCACGGAGACGCAGCAACAGGAGGTTGAAACGCGCATTTGAGGGGCAAAGACATGCTTGAACTCATACTGAGTGCGCGGCACGTACTGACTGTTTCACCATCGCGACGCAGAAAGTGGATGTGAGTGAGGCTTGTGTACCGAGCCTGAGTTTTTGAGGGTCAAAGGCACCCTGACTAACCAAACATCCGCCCTGTGAAACAATGCTTTCCGAGATAGAGGTAGAGCACGAAGGAAAAGCTGGCCCGTTTTGGAGCTGCGCTGTCATTTAATCTGGAGTGTGCATCTTCCTTTGTATCAAAGTCAGAAACTGGGGCTGGCACCCTTCAACTTTCCACTTGGGGGAAAACTTGATGATGGAACAGGGGGGCCAGCAGCGCAACGTGTCCGCAGCAGTGGCCAAGCGTCAATCTAGGGATCATCCTGAGACCGAGTGAACTCACGCGTAGCGGCGAGGCCAGGCGCCGCGCCGGGGGGTAGGAAGGGTATTGTATAGGGTTGTGCAGATGTTGCGCTGTGTGGAGGTCAGAGCTCAAGCATGGCCACCTTGGGGCATCCGGCAAACTGCTGCTTGGTGGCTCTTGCTCCACAGGTATATTAACGGCTGACTACAGCAGGGATAACCTGTGGCCCAGAGTAAAAGTGTCCCTCCACTTTACAAAAGATCGGCTTTTGCATTTTGCCTGAGCCTAAACGAACAAACTTACGCAGTTTCGATTGCTTGGCGCCTGCAATGCACAGCAAATCGCGCCCTCCTGAGATCTGATTGCACACCAATGCGACCTGAATTTGATGAACATCATCGGCCACCAACGATGTGACTGCGCAATGATGTTACTTAGCGCTCTGTCTTTTTGCTGCTAAACATGGGGTCTAGAAAAAGTAGGAAACTACCCATGGCTTTTCAGCACCCAGTTGCTGTGTTTCCTTTCGGAAGGCCGTCCACTCACCTGGTCCCTTGCTGGACTATTCCACCATTGACCGGCCAATAGCCTTAGTTTTGGCTATCTTTGGTGTCTGTTTGCTTTTACCTGCCTCTTTGCGGGGGTCCCAAAAGGATGGAGGTCACAAAGGGGGAGCGCTAAAAGGAGAGCCCTGAGGACAGGCGCCCGATGCGTCGCGAGGCACCGATGACTGGGATGGAAATCCGCATCGACGCACTGGAGGGGTGCCGCGCCAAGTACTGATCAGCCACGGGAAGTTCATGGCCCTTCATGGCCCCAATTTGTCACTATGAGTCACAATCACAATAGTCATTGGGTTGCAATGAAAGCGGAGCCTTGCTTTGGCTTTGATTCTGTCCTGTATATGACAAGGTTTGGATACCGTTCAGGAAATCCATGGAAATCCTGCAACATGCGAGCTGAGAGAGGATCGACGGTTTCAGAGCTTTCATGTCACTGGGAGGCCGGGTAACCCCTGGTAGGTTGGATCGGTTGCTTGGGGATTTGGACCCAGCGATCGTGGATTGGGGTATTTAGATCTGTTGGTTGCAGCACGGGTCCCACACACCGGTAAATATGTGGAGGGTGTGTATTTCCCGCTTGCAGGTTGGGCCTTAAGCCGTTCAAGACTTTGGGGAGCTTCGGGTCAGATACCGGATTGGATGCATCTTCAGGTCTGGTTTCGACTTTTAGATTCTGACAACTGCGATTCTGCTCCAAGACAAGGGGCAAAACTCAGCAACCAAGATCCAAATCACTACACATATTTCGCGGCTTGCTTTACAGTGTGGAACTCTTGGTCCGGCATGGTCGTATTGCTTCAATGCTCAGCAACTGAGTCCCTTTTGACACAGGGTCCTAACGCCTGAACGACTTTTCGCTTCGCGTTCTTTGGAGCGGCCGGCCTGGTGGGCCAAGGGGGTTTGACTCACTTTGCCGCAGAACGGCTCGCTCGACTTCCGCCCATGCGGCTCCAACCTAAAATTCCAAGGCTGGCAACACCCAAAGACACGTTCGTCTCCATGCGCATTGGCGACTACCAGAAGCAGTCGCGTCCGGGGTCCTGGGAGGGGGGCTACACTCATGTGCATGTCGATCTTCAATTGCAAACCGAGTCCGTGTGGTGTTTAGAGGGTTATTGGGTGCTACATCGCCAAGAAACTGCGATGTCCTCCCAACAGGACAACAGAAGGGATGGTTAAGTTAATTAAGCCTCTACAGTTTCCAGACCCTCTATCACGCAGGAAACAGCAAGAACACCTTGTGGGCTCCCCGACTTTCCGGATACCCTCCCCCATATGCATGGGTAACATTTGCCTTTCAAGCGGCTGTTCGTTTTTGGCGTTCGAGTCCAGTGGGCAGCTTCTTGAGCTTATGTTTGGTGCGACTTTGTGAGACAGAATGGTAAGAGCCATATGTTGGTGTCATGAAGTTGCCTGGATGGCTCCCTACGAACCCCTACGGAAGCTGCAAGGAGCCCGAAGGTTTCCTTGTGGTTTGGCCCAATCGAAGCTGAACAGGCTTGGTGTCGTGCTTGCATTTCTTGGCAGGGAGATGCAGGGAGTAGATGCGCGAGTAAATTAGGCAATGTTATGAAAACTGGAGGCCTTGGCTTGGATCCCTTGGTGCCGCGTGAGCTTCAGAGTTTAAAAGGGTCCGCCACCTCCTCTCCGCATCTCCCCCCATGGGAGATCCCGGCAGTCCAATGGAGCCGAACCATCCTCTAGCACACCGCCTTTTTGATTAGAGCGTCGCGCTTCGGTTGGAAGTCGAGGTTTTGGATCATCGAAGACGTACCGCTTCCCGCAGATGGAGGATCCTCATGCCTTCGCTAGGATCGAGGCAAGGCGGAGCTCTTTGAATTCTCTTGTAAAGATGGGCAACCCCAAAGAAGATTCCCCTAGGGTCCTCGACTAAGGTTTCAAACCACGAACGAGTTCGACCTTTCTTGGGTGCTTTTCACAAACGCGTCATAAAAACAGCTTTTAGGAGTGGCCAGTGTCATATATTTAGGATGTGTCAAAAGGTCCAGGGCCTTAAATACCCTCCAGAAACCAACCGCAGGCGTGCAACACTAAATGTTCAAGACAGAGCCTGAGAGATTAATAGGTGTGACTCATGACCATATTCCTGTGACTGTGGATGGGTTTGACATCACATTCGAGGCCTTCCTTTGGGGTAATCTTTGAGTGGACATTTGTGGAACCTTGAGCCGTCTCGCTTGGTGGACAGGAACAGATTGCAGGTAGATGGTGTTCACTGGGGCAGGGCTCAAGTTCGCAATATGTCCTTTGGATTCAGTTGTCGACAGGCAGCAAACGTGTTCTCTTCTTTAAAGTCGACCAACGCAAAGGGACTCCGTTTTGGTGTTGTCTTCCCCACAGAACCGGAAAGCAAACGACATTTGCAGCAGCCCCAACGAAGGAAAAGAAAGAGGGACGATTTGAAAGCGCTTTCCTCCCTGTTGGTGATTCCTTTTTGAAAGGAATGGGTGGCGTGAGAACATGCGAGAAGTGACTAACCCAGCCGCATGCAGACTCTCCCTGTGGGAAATGAAGTGTGCGTTTCCCCTTGTCGCTGCCTGTTGTCTGGATTTGAGGCCTGGATTTCTGGATTTCTGCGAGAACAGTTGACTTCTGATCAAGGTGCCTTCCATCTGGCCACCAAGGCACAAGTCCCTGCTGAATGTAAGTACGCTGATATACGCTGATCAGCTGAGGGTTTAAAGGGTTGGTGTTCAAAGAGTTGGGATACAGGCGGATGTTTGGGATGCCGGGCTTGCCATGGGCAAAACAACTACAGCCCCTCAGGGCCTCCTCCACAGCCAACCTTATGAGGCGGATTCTTCAATGTACCATGATGTGGTTGTGGCACCTTGATGGTTGCGTCCCCGCTCGCTTCTGGATCCCAGTGTTCGGACTTTGTCCTGTTCAAAGAATCATGTTGAAATCACACAGTTCAGAATTCGGCTCCACTCAGCTTGGTTTCTTTTAGCTCTTCGAAGTTTCAGGTTGGGATGATCTGCGACCATGACATTTTAACTTCTAGGAGACCCACGAGCCACTGAGTCAGGAAGTCTTTTGGAGTCCTGGCCCCACGGCTTTGGGCTGGCCGCAAGGTTTTTCACCGCGTCGGTCACCTGACTGTGAACCTCGGCAACCTGCAGAGCAATGAGAATGTTGAGGCAACCTCGGGTGGGGGCCTGGTGAGTAGAATGTTCTGCAGCTACACCTGAAGATTGAAGCAGCAGTAGCAACTACAGTTGCAAATTGGCTAGGATTGCTACTACAATTACGACAACTAGAACTGCCACACCTACTAAAACCACCTCATCAACACCCAATCACACTTTGTGCTTGGTATCATGCCCCCCCTGATCAACGGATATACCTGGGTGGCCAAAAGGAACCCGACCATGTTTAGAGCCCCGCCTTCGGCATGGGCTAGCAACATTTTGCATGCTCGAAATGCCCCTTCCTGCATTGCGCATGGCTGAAGCGCACGTTTTGCATAGCACACCCTTTGTAAAGGGCAGCCTTGACCAGACATTGGTTTCAACAAGACCGCGCTTTAAAGGGAGCGAAACAGGGAGGTTGCACAAACAATAGTGGCGTAGGCATGTTGAAGTTGTACGACGCTTGCATCTGGGTATGTGTTTAATAGGCGTAAGGAAAACCTACGCTCTTTTGCGACAACATACCAATGACGCCGCTGAGGGAAATTGAAAGGCAGACAACCTGGGTTGTCAGAGTCAGATGCCTTGGAATATGATGAGATCTACTCATCGCAAAACGAGCCCAATGTAACATACGCCGAGGTTAATTGACACGGTTGACATCGTATAATATTTGCAAACGCCAGCCCTACGAAACTTCCTATTTTGTCATGGGCCCTGGAATGGTGGAAAGCCACACAAGGAGTCCCAAAATAGCTCTACAAACGGCCGGCCCAAGAAAAGGTGCCAGCACGGCCTGATGGGAATGAAATTTGCCCCTTAAGCGGTTTTGGCGCTTAGCAACCTTTCTACTGTACGGGTGTTTGAGAGGGGGCGGTGTTAAACGCGCACCTGTAGGTCCCTGTGGACATGCCCCAGCTGAGCAGCCTGCCGATGAAGTGCCTTGCCAAGATTTGGCTACTCGTGGGAGCACGCCTCAAGGATGGTCGTGATCTATCAAAAGCGCTGTTGGGACAAAGGCATCCCGAGTGACGAGTGAAGGAACATTCCCATGACTCTCTTGCTGGGAAGAGCGTTAGACCGAGGCACTGTATCGGTGCATTGCAGAGGGAGTTCTTGGGATCCTTGAGGAGTTGCCGAGGAATCCCAAGATTCACATCCCTTGCAACAAACCTTTTGAAAACCCTGTTGCACGGGCTGGCTTGCAGCATCGCCGAGTTGACTGCCTTGTGCAAAGTCGGAGGTTTCCAGCGAATCTGGTTGTCTGCTGAAATTGGGTACCGCCCTTTTTGCCAGTTTTAGGCAAACCCAATGAAGTAGTCATATTATACCCCCTATTCTTGGGGACACCCTTTTTTTCGCATTTCATTTCAAAAAGGACGCCTTTTCCAGCTTCCTGGGTCCCACAGTCTCCTTTTCACTTCCCCACTCCTCATTTGCAAGCCTTCTCAAGGCTTGTGGTCCAGAACGACAAGGCAATGTTTGTGCTCGCCCCAGCTGGTGTCTGGACTTCCTGCTCTTAAACAAAAGGGGGAACTAGGTGAACCGCATTTGATCGTTGGCCATGGGCTCAGGCACTTTGTTTCCCCACGAAGATGGCCTTTATCTTCTTGTCTTGGTGGCGGATGAGCCCATGTTTTCCATGGCCGGAGGCCTGGGTCCTTTGTCACCAAGTTCTTGGCACGCCAGAATGTGTATGATGGCATGGCACACGTTGGAAAGACGGTCCTGGTTTCGAGTGAAGGATCTGAAGACCAAGTTGGCATTTGAATACCTATAATCTCAGAACCTGACTGGGGGATCAACTTGGAAGACCGCGTTCCAAACGGGACCTTCTGGTGGCTTACATCTTAATTAGTTGGTAGCAGGGTAGCTTATTATGATCAATGATCTCTGCTACTCTGAAAGAAACGAGCTACACGGGTCCCAGTTGTCCGTGTGGAGCTCTACAGCTCGTTGTTTCTTTGTTGCTTGCTTTTTGCCAGCTTCTTGTGGATCTTCCCTGGCTCTTCACGCCTGTTAGCAACACCGCTCATGAGAAGCCTTTGATCGATGGATTTCGCACTTGTCTCAATCCCGGACCCTTCATGCAGGCCAGATTGAACAAGCAGTTCTCTCCAGAGAGGACCCAAGCTTCCTGTGCTTCAGGACCCCTCTTCTCAGCAGAATGTGCGGGTATTTATTCAGGCAAAAGCCTCATTATGGCCCTGTCGATCCCCCCCTCGCCTGGTAGAAAGGCTAACCAGAGAGGGTACCTCCTTGCGAGGGAGAGCCCAAAGTAACGCCGGCTTACTCCCGAAATTATTCCACTGTTGGTCTCTTCTCCCATTTTGGCGGCCACTTTCTGCCATGGGAACTCAAGGGTAACCACCAGTTCCGGAAATGGCCCACGGGTTTTGTTCATGGCCCTTCTCTGGGGTCGAATTGACGCATGCCCAAATCGGATAGACGGTCCCCTCCCCCATTTTGAACACCCCAGCATACCCCAGCCAAATGGGCCGGTCACTCCGCTGGGGCTTAGGCCAAGGCTGACAAGATGAAATCAGAGAAGGCTGGGATGCGGCGATTGGGTTCTTCCGCGCACGCCTTTGCCTTTTCCAGAAAGAATAAGCCAGTGGCACCGAAAAGATGGTTGCCAAAGTCCGGCGGTTTGGTATTTTGTCAATCCCTTTAGATTTTGAACCAATGACTTTACTGGATTCTCAGTCACGTTTGGAGAGCCGCAATTTGCAAGTAAGAAATTGAGGGGCAGTGTGCTTCGCTTCAAGTCGCTTGGCTTGGCGGCTAGCGTGGATGTTGCTGGGTTGAGAATGGGTGAAGGCTTGAAGACCAGGTATCCTATCCAAGTAGTTGGTTTCATGTTTGTCTTCTCTGAAAACAAAGAAAGCAGAGAAGCGTCCTTCGCTCAACCCGACCGTTCGCCCGTTCACATTCGCAGCCAACTTGCAGTAAGTCATGGCAGCTCAAAAGGTTAGCCAGTCATGTTATTGCTTTTTTGAAGTACCGTGTTTTGGTTTACCTTGAAGTGCTGTGTTTTGTGAGTGAGTGAGTCGGCGCCGAAATGCGTGAGCTGCTTTCCAAGTGGGCCACGCCACGGGCTAGACTGTCTAAGCCGGGGGTGGAACTTCCACCGGGGCGAGAGCTATACAGCTATCGTGCAAGGCCGGGCTGGGGCTGCCAGCCAAAAGCAAGGGCCTGGGGCTTCGGTGCTGTAGTCCAAGGCAGCGGGCACAAGGAGCTGACTGGTGGGTCACGCCCACGACCGGGGAAACAGCAAGGAGCTGGGCGAAGGATCTAACGCCTTCTGGCCGGTCTGAACTGGCGGCTGGGGCCTCCTTTGTCAGGGTCTCGCTTCAAGAGAGCTCAAGGCCGCAGAGCGACATGGTCGGGCGAGCTGGTTGTGGATGATTGGGGGGGTGGAAGATCGCGATGATCTCAGAGGAGATCTGACCGCTTCCCGGCCCCGGTGAATTTTCGACCAGCACGACTGCAGTTTCAACACAGAAGCAAACATCAGCTGACTGAACGGGGATCCTGAAAGCATAGAGCAGTATTCAGTTGCTGGATTATTTGGCCGTTTCAATTACTTTCAGTTCTCCTGAGCAAAACTTGCCCGAAAAAGGGTACCCTCAAGAGCACACCTCCAATTTGACTCCAGGGTGCTTCGACTTCCATTGATTTCTTGTCGATCCACGCCCGAGCAGTGTGTTGTTGTCCTTGATTGAGTGTAGGCACCCTGCAGCCTCGCACTCTCGAAGGCATCCTTGGCCGTCTGCCAAAAGGCTACTCGAACAGTACTCATACCATCAATGCCTGTTTCGTATGATCAACATGTTTGATAATTTCACCTCACCCCATTTGGTATCGGCATTGAGTACGGAAAAAAGGTAAGTTCCGGGGTGCTGCGCAGGCCCAGAGCAAGCGCGACGAGGCGCAGAGGCGAGATCTGCTAGGACATGGGTTTTTGTGCGGCAGGGTATGTCTGGGTCCGTCTACTTGGTGTGTCTCAAAATGGGAACACTGTGCTGAACGGCTACAGTATCAGTTGAGGAACAGCCTGCAAATTTTGGGCAGACGTAAATCTCGAGCGAGTGACGTCCATCAAATGGCCCCCAATTGAATGTCATAGGCACATTCAACCATATATATATATACACAGGTTCATTTATGTCAGTGTTCTTCTCACGAGAAAGCAACACGGAAAAAGTTTGCTTGAGTTTCCAGGCCCCCTGTTTGACACCCGAGTGAGATTCCTGTAATCATGAGGGATGGTCCTTTACCATTTTAGGGCTAAGCGGCTTTGTTTGAAAGCAGTTTACCAGCGGTAGCTGGTGGATACTTTGCGGGTAAATGAAAAAGACACTCGAGAGACCCTCAGGACGAAATGAGTATTTGTTTATGGATTGGACCCGGATGCCTTTGGTTGGTTCCTTCAGTAACACTTGCAGACGAACAACCCAGCCTCCCAGACCAGAATCCGTTTTTTCGGGTGAACTGGTCGCAGGTACCTGGCCGAGCACCATGTGGAGGAGGTCATTGCTGACGCCATCCGTGAGGCACGGCGGCGGCCTGCGATTCCCATTATTGGCCAACGTTGTAGAAAGCAGTACCTGTCATAGGGGTGAAAAAATGAGGCCTATGTCAGCCTTTGCAACCATGGAACCAACAGCCATTTCGTTTTGGGTGCAGGTCAGGTGTTCGTTGGCTTTCGTACCTCCGTGATTTACATTGGTATCCCAAGTGTGGATAAGGAAGACGATACAACTGTCCAACCCAGGTTTTCGCATTCAAGAAGTGAGGGACTCAGAACAGGCGCCCTGGGTGGATTTTCGTTTTTCATTTCGGATGTTGAGGTTCCCCGTTCTTGCCGAACCCACTTTCGCATATGCAACCTTAATTGGTGATTGGGTAAGGACGAATCGTGGATTTGAGTGCCCAGTTCTTACATGTTGTTGGCTTCAACTCTGGGGCGGTTGTCAAATGAAAAAAGGAGTCCCCCTTGCGGG